ATTTAAAAAAGATTGACTATTAAGTGTACAGATGATACTGGATGACTGTTAGAAATTTATCTTTTTCTCTTCATCCCTGTGTCATTCTTTTTATTACAGAGTATGGAAAGAATAGATAAGAGTCAAAACAATAATCTCAGTGACGGACTATTGTCTTATATGCTAGGCCAACCTTGTCATCCTCATCCTTTAAACGGATTCATGACATTTCCCCTTCCTGCCTCATACAGCTTTCTGACCATGCAATAGGGAAATGTAGGCTAAAAACACTCTCAGTTTATAATATTCTATATAAATGTAAGATGTTATGGGTGGGGCTTTAAAGTTAAAACTACCATGTCTTTGGGGGCCTGTGCATAACTGGTTACAACTAAAAGAAAATAACAATTTGCCATAAAGTCCATCACTTATAAATCTTAAATCTGGAGAGAGTGGAACATATCTGAAATCCCAGTATTTTTGGAATTGGAAGCAGAAAGATCAGGGTCAGTCTCCAGAAGATCATATCTCCAAAAACCAAAGTAATAATCATAATAACTTTAGATGATCCTTAGTAAGGACTTCCAATCACTATTCATGTTTCCCTAACCCCATCCATTATCATACCTGGCTTGAAAAATCATACCATAATGTTCTAGAGAGCTATTTCGTACTCTACAAAAACCTGTAGATTAATAAGGATAAAAATCTGGACCATGCAGATGCCTACACTCAGTTATATAATAGTGCACATACATCAAAGATTTCCAAATATATTTCAGAAGAACAGAATAGCAAAACTAATATGATCCATGAGAGTAATGAAGAAATTATGCAGAACACAGAATAGAGAAAAGCATTATGTCTGTGTGCCTCTCCTTCTGATAGAGGGGAAGCTACAGTTGCATCTTTGATTTACTTAGGTTACATGTTTGAATAGAAAAAGATGGGCCATATAGGAGATGTCACATCATTTCTTTCACTTTTTTTGTTTTGTGTTGCTTTGTTTTGTTTTGTTTTTTCAATACAGGGTTCCCCTATATAGCCCTGGCTGTCCTGGAACTAGCTCTGTAGACCAGGCTATACTTGAACTCAGAGAGATCTACCTGCCTCTGCCTTGCTAGTGCTGGGATTAATGCATCATTACCATCCGGCCCAATTTCTTCCACTTTTTAAGAAATAGAAACTGTATGCCAAACTCAAAGTATTTTTCAAAAAAAGGGAGGGGAAAAGTAAAGACAATTATTGAAAGTAACTTGCCATGCATTCTATAACCCAGCCATCAAGCTGACGGAAATCGATTGGACCAGGGATTTGTGCCCAACTCTATGACGTAAGAATGTTTTGGAATCAGAGTTCTGTGCAACAGGGGTCTTCTAAACCTGATGGTGATGGGTTAGTCTAAAATAACCATTTCTTTACATCTTAATTTGAGATAAAGTAAGGAAATTTAATAGATGTTCCTCCTGGAGGGGGATGGAGCCTCAGCGAGTAGGGGCACCTGCTGTTCCTGCAAAAGACCTAGGTTCAATTACCAGCCTCCACATGGCAGCTTACAACCTTACTTAACTCCAGTTCCAGGAGATCCAGTGCCTTCTTATGTGGGTACCAGGCAAACAAACAGTGCACATACATACATGCAGGCAGAACATTCAAACACATAAAACACAAATAATAACTAAATCTTCAATTTTTTAAGTAAAAAATTTAAATGCATTTTAGAAAAAAATTAAACAATGTAGCTGAAGTTTTCCTGGTCCTGCCTGGCCCATGGTCAGGACGAATCTCTCTCATTTACCAGTCCTGCAGCTGCTGGGACCCAAGCAAACACAGAGATTTATATTACTTATAAACTGTATGGGCGTGGCAGGCTTCTTGCTGTCTAGTTCTAGTATCTTAAATTAACCCATTTCTATAAATCTATACCTTGCCATGTGGCTCATGGCTTACCAGTGTCTTCCATTGTGCTTCTCATGGTGGTGGCTGGCAGTGTCTCTCTGCCTCAGCCTTCCACTTCCTAGAATTCTCCTCTCTCCTTGTCCTGCCTATACTTCCTGCCAAGCATCCACAGACTGAACCTCCTCCTCCCTTTATGTCATATATGGCATCACAGTGATCCAACAGCAACATAGAAAATGGTACCCAGAGTAGAAGTG